CTGACAAGAATGAATCCTGCTAGCTATGTTTTCCAACTTAAAGTAGCAGACGCGATCGAGGAAAAAAGTATGCCCAATCTTGGATGGAACAGCCCCTATCTTGGCGCCGCAAATTCTCGACTATTTATGAAGGAAAGGTTTCTCGTAGACATACAGTTTGACGTTTTACAGACTCGGTCTTCGGGGTGCTTGAATCGGATACATCGCCAACATTGTGAACACTTCGATTGTGAATGAGATCGTTGTGGTACAGAAAAAATACAGATGCTTTTACAACTTTCTACAAAACGTTACACAAAGACCCTTGAACGCACGGAGCAGGCTGGTAACATCCGCCGTTTACAACCTCTGCTGGAACAGCTGCTTCGTGTTCTTGCCGGTGATGTTATGCCTGAACCCAATGACCTCCGCCGCGCTCTTCACCTGTATGAGCCCGGGGTCGACCTTGCCCGAGAAGCCGATCGCCTTGGCCACCGCATCCGCGAGCTCGGGCGCGACGTGCGCGAACACCGCGAGCTGGCGCGCCTTGACGACCTCCGACTTGGCGCCGCCGAGGTGCCCCGCGACGTTCGACACGTAGTGCGCGCGGTCCGTGTCCGAGAACACCTTGCTCCACAGCGCGCGCGGCTGCTCAAAGTCGACTGCGGGGATAGTTAGTATTTCATTGAAAAACCGGAAAAGGAAAGGGACGCACGCTCGGTGAGCTCGGACAGCTCGCGGTACGCGCCACCGACGAATGTCTCGTGCTGCCGCTCGCGCTCCGAGTCCTGCTTGCCCCCCTCGATCGCGCCCACACGCCCATCGTACTTGAGCGGCGCGATGCTGCTCTGGTAGTTGGGCCGCGCACCCTGGTTGCCGTTCACCGTGCCAAAGCCGTCGCGCTGGAAGTTCGCGACAGGCACGATCGGCGCGTTGACGGGGATCTGCTGGTAGTTCGGGCCGAGGCGGTGGCGGTGGGTGTCGGGGTACGAGAACAGGCGCGACTGCAGGACGGGGTCCGCGGAGTACTCGATGTAGGGGATGAGGTGCGAGGGCGAGAACGCGAGCTGCTCGATCTCGGCAAAGTAGTTCTGCGGGTTCTCGTTCAGAACGATCTTGCCGACAGGGCGCAAAGGGAACTCCTTGTGCGGCCACACTTTCGTGAGGTCGAGGATGTTGTAGCGGAAGGACTCGGCCTGCGCGGGCGTCATCGTCTGCACGTACACCGTCCAGGAGGGCGGCTTCCCGGACTCGATGGCCTCGAAGAGCGTCTGTGTGCCGTAGTCTGGGTTCGAGCCTGAGAGCTTTCCAGCGGTCTCGTTGTCGAGGGTCTGCACAACGCGTTAGCAACATTGACTCCACAAGTGTCAATTCGGCACACCTTAAATCCTCCGTCCGCACGGACGTGGACCTGGACGTACGTGAACGAACCGTCTTTCTTGACGAACTTGAGCGTGTGCCCGGAGTATCCATGCTCGTTGTGGTACCCGTCAGGTGTCCCCCTGTCCGAAAACAGGATCATGACCTGATGTATACTCTCGGGGTTCTGGCTGAGGTAGTCCCAGAACATGTCCGCATCCTTGAGGTGCGTCTGCGGGTCGCGCTTCTGGGTGTGGATGAAGTGGGGGAACTTGACCGGGTCGCGGATGAAGAAGACGGGGGTGTTGTTGAACACCCAGTCGAGGTTGCCCTCGTCCGTGCGGATCTTGATTGCGAAGCCACGGGGGTCGCGAGCAGTGTCCGCAGACCCACTCTCGCCACCGACGGTCGAGAAGCGGATGCTGGTACGTGCCTTGGCGCCGACGGTGGAGAAGAACTTGGAGTCGGTGATGTCGGCGAGAGAGTGGGTGATCTCGAACACGCCGTGTGCACCGGCACCCTTGGCGTGGACAACGCGCTCGGGAACGCGCTCGCGGTCAAAGTGGGCGAGGAGGTCGATGTGGTGGAAGTCTGTGAGAAAAAGAGTTAGGGGTTGCACGGCGACGACGATGACAGCGACGTACCCTGAAGCAGGAGGGGCCCGTTTATGCCTGCGCGTTGAGCAGCATATGGCTCGTTTACAACTGCACCGTTAGAGGTGGTGTAAGTGGCATTGTCTGCGGTTTCGAACACTTGCTTGGACGGCATGGCAAGAGAGATAAAAGTGGGTGAGAGAACGGATGAGTGTGGGTCGATGCATCTGCCTTTTATTCTGGAGATGGCTTTGCGGCGTGGGTCATGGGATGAGGAATAGGTGACGACATTCCAGTGGAAATGTGGGTATTGCAGCCATCCGATTGGTTAGGGGTAACGTGCGCGGTGAATAAGACCAGCACGCGTCTCGCGAGTCATCGACTTAGTCGTTCGATCGTGACCTGCATCGTCGCCGCAAATGTTTTTGTGTTTTATCCTTCTACCGTCGGCACCCGGTCCAACCATCGGCAGTCGACTCGCTCTATGCGCTGCAACCTGGAAATTTGAGCTATCGTCTCGAGCTAGCACTGACCATCGAGGACTTACCAACCCGGGATATCGCGCACACACTGTCAGATGACACGCTCAGGCGCAATCCTCCTGCCTCCTCCATCCTTTTTCCCCATCTCACGTCCTTCCCTTCTCCGCATCACCGGTTTCCCAAGTTCTCGACCAAGCAACGTGTCTTTTCTTGGCCGCCAAAATAACCGTGGAGAAGGTGGGTGGAAGTTGCGTGACCACTATCGCTGATCGAGGTCCTTCCGCCATCCGTCCTCGCCCGCGTATCACAACGCTGAGATTGCGTGTACAGGAGAGCAACTGTGGGCTTCGGGTAGTATGGGGTACATCCGGGATGTAACGGCTGAGGACCATAACAGTTTGAGATGCCATATCATCACCCTCCCGGTAACTGAAAAGTCTTCGAGCGTCGGGGGATGCCAGGCTCTAGCTTCGAATCGACAACTCTATTTGATGGAATATAGCATGTTCTAGAGGCAAACCAGAGTTACGAGTAGTCTTTATTGAAGAGTCTACTGCAGAGCAAATGTCAGAATGTACTCACAGCTAGGGAGAGGGAGGAGGCATCAAGGCGTCGTCGCTGAGTCGCCAGTACCCACGAGATCCACATACGGGTGTCACAGATGGTCACCTGGTACACGACAAGCACGATGTTGTTGTCAAGGTTGTGGATCGCGTCTCCAAACTCCATACAACGCGTCGTAAGCGTGGTCCATTCATAGTATCGTCCTGTCTTGTGTCATCGCGTCGTCCGATGTTGTGAATCGCGTCTTACTTCGCGTCGTCTGATTTCGTGGGCGAGTTGCGTCGATATGGTCATGAATATTCTTGAGTCTGCCGCCGCAATGAAACGATGAAGTATCTGGCTGCTGAGAGGGGTAGATCCAGTCGTTGAAGCGGTAGACGCAGCATGGCGGTGGTGGTGGTGGTTGGGGGACAAGAGGCTTGTCGCATACGCGTCGCGCGTCGACGCGCCACCAAATCGGGGCGCCTCAATGCCGGGAATTTTGAAGACTCTGCCTCCAAAACATTTCCTAGCACCACCATTCATTGATATTCATTAACAGAGAGCCATTTTCTAGCATGATGGTACGCTTAGACCCCACTCAAAAGCATAGCATATACTTATACGACGGATACTCAGTACTTAGCACAGATTCAGACTCGTAAGTATGATGCAGAAACTAGTACTAGTGTTGATTCCAATATGTGGCGATACAAATACACGCGATTGCTACTTTTCTTTCCAATGTCCCATGAAATCCGAAACAAGCCCAATCATAGCGCTCCTTCACTGGATCGCAACGCGCACATTCTGCGCCTCTGCGACCTTGGGGATCGTGACGGTCAGAATCCCATCGACGAGCGAGGCCTGGACCTTGTCCGCCGCGACAGGGCGGGGGAGCCAGACTGTCCGCGTGAACGACGAGCTGTACGTCGACTGCTCCGGCTGCTGCTGCTCAGCTGCTTTTTCGCCTAGAAATCCCAATGGCGTCAGTACAGTTGCTCGTTGGAAAACAAGTGAGCGCAAAATCCTACCTTGCGGGGCACCCTCGATGGCTTTCTGCGGGGCAGCGCCGCGGTTGCGGCGGAAGACCTTCCCTTGGATGGTCACGCTGCGCGCGCCGTCGCCGACGGTGATGTCAAGGTTCTCCTTCTTCACCCCGGGGACCTCTGCCTCGACGATGTAGCGGTCACCCTCCTCGGTGAGCTCGACGCCGGAGTTGTCGTTGCCGCCCCCGCTGGTGACGTTCTGGAAGAACGGCGCGTCGCGGAGGGAACGGGCGGGTGCGTAGAAGGTGGGGGTGGTGCGGAAGAAGGGGTCGTCGAGGAGGCGGAAGAGATCGGTGAAAGACATTGTAGTGGTGGTTAGAGGTGGTGGTTAGAGTGGTTGTGGTTGTGGTGAGTGTTTGTGCGTTAGAGTTGTTGTTGTGTTTGTTAATGCTGGGCGTCAGTAGGCGAACGACCGGCCCTCTTTATACGTTTGACCCAGTGCGTAGGTAGAAACATCTCGAACAGAGGTGTACCACTTGACGTGAACGACGACGAATCTAGAACTGTGCAGAGGATGGACGTCAGTGCCAGGAAGGATGGCGACGCGTTCGCGAACTTTCGCGATTCACCACTGCCTTCCAAATTGGGAATTGTGGCGAATTCGTGTTTCCGTGGGTTTTCTTTGCTGCACTGCGGCGAGTAGGTTGAATCTTCATAGACAACTATCAAGGCCACATCCCATCGGTCAGAGCGTACCAAGGAGTCCACTTGAAGCTTCAGTGCAACGGCGAGGCCAGTGACGGCCACCAAATCAGAGCTGAAGCCGCCGTGCTGTTGTGTACACTGCAGTCGCCTCAGGTCGGCTCAGGCTCCTGACTCTGAGGTGTGTAGGCCTGCCTCAAGAACCAGTACTCAATCATATCGGAAAAGCAAAAACGTCCCTTTTTCAAACTCCTCGTTTTTGCAGTCAAAGATCGCATCTTGGACGGTTCATCTTGCCAGCCTTCTGCACACTGCACAGGCGTAAAAAAGGTCGGAAAAAGTCTCCAAAAACTCTCTCTGACTGGGAATTGAACCCAGGTCTCCCGCGTTCTGGGTCACGTGATGACAAGCGGGCGTACTGACCATTATACTATCAAAGATAGGATGAGAGGAGGTAACCGTTGTGCCACGGCTCCTTGAAAGTGGATGCCAATAAAATGTTTATGTAATACGCCGTCACTTATCTGGATCCAAGGTATGCGATCTAGAAAATCCGGCAAGGCTGCTCACACCTCCCCTCGGAGAATGCGTGCTTTTGAGTCTACACTGATCGTGTTCGAAGGTTCGCAGCCATACCGTGTACAGCGACGGGCAAGTGACGCGGGATGAGAAGATCAGCCACATTTCTCAATCGGGTCAATCCGCGTGCGGACTCCCGCGTCGAAACGCGCGACTCTCGATCTCGAAATTTCCGGAACCTGGGTCGAGTACATGCTGGGAAGGCCTCAAGCCAACGTCATATCGCGTCAAGGTAAAGCCATGTACGCTTCTCCGAAAGCCATCTACCGTTCTGGATTTTTCTAGTGTCCTCGGAATCGACACATACTAAGCGAGGTATAAAAGGTGCTGCACGGTTGAGGATGCGTACCAGCAATCGAACACACAAACCTACCAAGCAACAAAAGCGCTACAGTCTAACACTAGCTAACACACACACTACTACCATGTCTCTTACCGACCACTTCCTCCAAGAGTTCCGCCCCTTCTTCCGCGGATTCGACGACCCATTCGCGCGCAGCGGCCGAGCGACCCCATCCTTCTACGCCCCCGCGCGCTCGCTCCTAGAGCACCCATTCTTCAACCGCAACACCAACGCGCAGTCCGGCGTCGACCTGACAGAGGAGGGAGACCACTACATCGTCGAGGCGGAGCTTCCGGGCGTGAAGAAGGAGGACTTGAACGTGACGGTTGGCGACGCCGGGCGGAGCGTGACGATCGAGGGGAAGGTCTTCAGGCGGAACGCTAGCCGGGGTGCGATCGAGGGCGCGCAGAAGCCCGCGATCAAGGAGGCGGGGGAGAAGGCGACTCCTTCCAGCGGTGAGGGTAAGTCGCATGTTGCATCTACGAGCGTTGTCGCAGGCGCTAATAGGGACATTGCAGGAGCGAGTTCTACACCATCGGACGAGCAGACGCAGTCAACGTTCCGATCGTCCTTCACACGCACGGTGTGGCTGCCCCAGCCCGTCGCTGCGAACAAAGTGCAGGCAAAACTCGTCGACGGCATCTTGACCGTCACGATCCCGAAGGCGGAGGAGCCTGCGAGTGTCCGCGTCGCGGTCAACTGAGCGCGACCACCATCCTGACCTCGGTCGACGGAGCGTGGAAAGGATTGACATCAGTGGACTTTGAAGATTTGGGGAGAAAAAAATCAATGTAACATTACCAACTCATTTGTATGAATCTACTCTATTTCCTCTCTCTGAAAAAGACGCAAGCTGTGAGATGTGTGAAGCGGTCGCCAAGAGCTGAAAAGAGAAGAGTTACTGACACCCTGAGATGATGAGAAAGGTTACTGCGAAGGTCAAACTTTCGAGTTCGAGTAGAGTCAAACAGGTGAGCACGCGAGCGACTGCATTCTTTATACCACATGCAAGAGACGTATGGTATCAGCCGCTATTTTTGGTGTAAGCTGTTCCAGAACCATTGTGGACGAGCAGCGCGACGGAGGAGACGCACTGATACGGAGATAACCCGGACATACAGGCTACATTGGCTCAGAAAGGCATCCAATGTTTCTACACAGTAACTGAGGAAAGGCATAAGTAGGCAGAAAGCATTCAAGAACGAGGAGCCTCACCGCGTTTTCGCTCTACCACCCGCTGCAACACCATGTCAACACCGTCGCCGCTCGCCACCATCCCCCTCAACGACGGCACGCAAATACCCTGGATCGCCTTCGGTAGCGGCACCGCACTCCTGAAGGCGGACGTCGTGCCCCTCATACCGCTTGCAATCAAGAACGGTCTCACGCACCTCGACACGGCGCAGATGTACAAGAACGAGGAATCGGTCGGGGAAGGCATCGCACTGGCCGACGTGCCCCGCGAGTCGCTGTACATCACGACGAAGCTTGACGCCGTGAAGGAGGGCTACACCGTCCGGACCCAGCTCGAGGAGTCGCTTCGTAAGCTGCGAGTCTCGTATGTGGACCTCTTTCTGGTGCACACGCCCATACAGCATAAGGACTTGAAGGCCGTGTGGAGGGAGATGGAGGAGGTGCAGAAGGCTGGCTTGACAAAGTCCATTGGCGTGTCGAACTTCAAGGTGGAGCATCTGAAGGAGATTTTGGATGGGGCAAGCGCGGTCCCTGCAGTACATCAGGTCAGTCTTCGTAGGAGAGAAAAATGCACGTCCTCACCAGCCGTATTGCAGATGGAGTATCATCCATATGTCCTCAAGCACGCCGAAGCTGTCCACAGATTCAACAAGGAGCATGGCATCGTGACGGCGTCATACTCGGGCCTAGTACCCGTTACGCGCGCGCCAGAGGGACCTCTTACACCTGTCCTCGAGTCTGTCCGCCAGCGTTTGGAGACGGTCCAGGGAAAGCCCGTGACAGCTGTCCAGGTGCTTATCAAGTGGCTTCTGCAGCAAGACATCGTCTTCGTCACGTACGTGCCATTCAGTTACTGGTCTTCTGAGACAGTTCTTGACGGCCTCGGGACAGGACAACCTCGAAAGAGGCTAGGATACACGAATATCTGGAGGCAGCAGCCCTGCCTCCGCTCTCGCCTGACGAACTCCAGGAGATCGAAAAGACGGGGCACACATTCTTCAAACGCGTCTATGTGAGTGACGATTCCCCTTCTGACATCGATATATGGACTCACATCGACACGGAACGGCAGGGAAAGCGCATTTTCGGCGATGAGTAGGCTGTTCGGGCCGTTGCATAGTGCTGGGAGACATTGTGTAAGAAGGAATCGATGGAAGTATGTATTTGTTTCTCTCTCTCTGACGAGTGTGTCGTGTCTGCTAAGTAGATAGACTGCCTCGGTATACGAGAACATCGTGCAGATCTCATCCTAATGGAAAATGTCGGTCTTGCATGTTTTAAAAGACGCGTGTTTATCAGAGAGGATGCATCTCGTAGAGGCCTGGTTGACGGACGCTATTTCCAAAGTGAGCTGTAGTTCGTCGCGAGTGGAGAAGGGTGCGTACGAAATTCCGGCACATCGCGCTCAAACCATGAGCATGGTTTCCCTATGGAAGAACGACTGATGGTGTCTGTTTAGGAAAGACTAGGGTCTCCCGAGATATCCTTGGCCAATGTTGCCTATAATGCATGCTCCAGTCGCCTGAGTCCTGAGTCCTGACTGCGCTGAACTAGCTGAACTGGACAAGTAGGCGAGTTATATCTGCTTGGACAGCAATCTCGCGGTGTTCAGTGCCGACTGCTCTTACGAGAGCGACTGAGACAGAAACAGCAACAGGTGCAAGACAAGCAATGTTGAAAGCAGGATGACATTGAAAACAAGCAAGTGTGTATTGCAGCAGGAAGGCCGCCACAAATTCAAAGTCGCCACAGATATCCGGCTTCCGAAGCCGAACGCCTCTTCACTGTCGCCGACGACGACGACGCACCATCACACGATGAGCACGACATCGCCACCTCTAAATCCCCATCTTTCCTACCCATCCATAGACTCTGCCGCCGCAGGTCCCTCATCTCTCCCCGCCGTAGCTCCTGCTAATTCCGCTGCACGTCCCCTCCTCAAAGACAGGCTCTATGTCGGCAACCTCCACCCCACCGTCGACGAGTGCGTCTTTGTTCATTCACCTGTGCTGTATGAAGACAAGGGAGCTGACATGGTGGTATGGACACTAGATACACCTTGCTCCAGATATTCTCAAAGTTCGGCAAAGTCATAAAACTTGACTTTCTTTTCCACAAGGCGGGGCCCATGCGCGGGCGTCCGCGCGGGTACGCGTTCTTGGAGTATGCAGAACAAGCCGTACGTCTTTCTCCCCCCTTACATCTTTACATGCCCACCCCCACCCGTTCCTATGTCATTTCGTACCTACACACTCCTATCACTCGGTATCCAACATGTGCTCACCATCTATTTGTTTTCCCCATCATGTCCGCATGCTATCCGCCTCCGGACAGTCCCCCCAGGGCATATCCACCACCTTATTCCCCTGCACCTGGCCAATGCAGTAGCTGTAGCTGACCACGAACACCACTTAGGACGCGCACCGCGCGCTCTCCGCCGCCAACGACAAGCTCCTCCGCGGGCGCAAGCTCGTCGTCACCTTCGCGCACCAGGCGCCGCCCGACCCCATCCTATCAACATCATCCTCCTCTGCGCACGGCCACCGCCGGCCCGTCACAGAAGCGGGCCGGCCGACGACACTCAGCCTCCTCAAGGGCGGGCGTCCGCATGGACAGGGGTACGTTGCCATTTAACTGTTTGACTTGGAGTGGATTGAATTGAAGATGCTGATGGGTGGGCTGGTAGGGTGAAGAAGACGGACGACAAGATCGCGATGATGGAGGCGAAGCTGCGGCAGATGGAGGCGCAGTCGCAGGCGCAGTCGCTGCCGTCGCACCACACCCTCCCCGCGCGCCCGCCGCCTACCCTGCCGCATCCGCCGCAACCGCAATCACAATCGCAATCTACCCCCTCTCACTCCGGAGGAGATGCAAATCGTGGTTTGAAGAGGAAGGCAAGGGAGAAGGCCCCGCTGCCCTCGCTACCACTCGCTCGCCCGAAGGCGCCTACGTTCGGGCCGCAGGGCGCGCATGGGCATGGGAAGGATGTTAAGGAGGGAAAGGATGGGAAGGGGACTGGGTTGGCGGGTGTAAGGATAGGAATACGAAAGGATAGGGATAAGGGAAAACCTGAGCCTACCGCGAGTCCTGCGCCGTCGCCTCAGGTAGCCTGAATGTAGCATGTATATTGGGATTTATATCTTTCATCGTTGTTCTTTAGCGCGAGCGGCGTCCCACCCTCATCCCCTGGCCGTGATCTCGTACTTGAGCTCAGCAGGATTCAGAGTGAAGCGATTTGCGCCGATTCATACAATGTGTCGTGCGTGGTTTCATGATTTCATAGTAACATGTATGCATACAAAAACCATGTATGGCAAGGAAAAG